CATTTTTCACCTAAATGCCTCACCCTCCATCCTCACTGGAGTCCCAGAGTGACAGGTTGATGGGAAGACCTGGTAAAGAATTCTGGATCTCACCCACTGGGAGGGGGCATGGGTCCCACGCTCTGTAAGGAGCAGTTTTGATAACAGAATATGGTGCCTGTTTGTGTAAGAGCTGGGACCTGTGGGGACCCTCACCACTTCCACGGTCCAGATAATGCTTTTCCTGAGCAGTGACAGCACGCTGGAGAACCAGCCCTGAGTGGCAGAGGCTGAGAACGCCTCTCATGGGTGGGGATAGTCGCAGCCCCTGTCCTTGGCCCCCGGTGTGATCTTGCAGATGGCACGGTGCACAGTGAGAGTGTTTTGTGGGAAATCCCCAGGCTCACAGACAGACCGAGCCCCTGGGGGAGGGGGTGATCCCCATGAGAGGTGAGGCTCTGTGGTTCCTGGTGGGGTCAATCGCTGGGGTGGCAGCCCTGAGCTGCTCCTCACCCCTCCCCCCTCAGATGCCACATCCCAGTAGGAGGGACCTGGGATCCTTTTTTTGCTCTGTGACTGCTGCCAGCTCAAAGGGGTACCCAAGGAGGATAACAGTGTATGCAAAAGATGACTGGGGAGGGGGCCGTGGTAAGTCTCCAGAACCACCTGCCCCAGTGGGCCAGCCTATCCCCAAGGGCTTCACAGGAACCCTGGGGCAAAATTCCAGGCCGGACACTGAGAGCTTGCAATGCTCAGTTACGGAAACTGGGTCCATTAGGAAGCTTGGCCTGCCTTGATTTCATCACTGGAACTGGCCTTTCCTTCCACTGTTGGGGCATTTCGGTGTTTCCTGGTGCTCCGCATGGCCTGTGTTTTTTTAGTTTCCAGATAGGGTCAGAGCCAAGAGCATGCTAAGCCCTGGGGCGGGAGCTCTTTCAAAACAGGATGACACACACAGACTCACACACATGCATATACAGGCATATGCACACACATGCAGATTCATACAATGCACACTCACACACGTGTATGTGCACACTCACATACCCACACACAAGCACACTCACACACGTATGCATGCCCACACAAGCATGCACACTCACAGACACGTGTACACACACACAAGCATGCACACTAACACACATGCATATGTGCACACTCACATACCCACACACAAGCACACTCACACACGTATACATGCCCACACAAGCATGCACACTCACACACGTATACATGCACACACAAGCATGCAAACACACATGCATACCCACACACAAGTACACTCACACACGTATGCATGGACACTCACGCACACGTGTACACACACACATACCCACACACAAGCACACGCACACACACCCACATGCACATTCACATACGTGTACATGCACACTCATGTGCACACACGCATATACCCATGCCCACATAAACAGGCATGTGTGCACACACGTGCATGATGCAATTTGCACACACATGCCCCTGCAAGGCACCATCCCTCTGGGGAGAGTTCTGTGCACCCCAAGCCCCACCCTCCCTAAGGAGTCCGCCCTGCACCTCCACTACCTGCTCCAATAGCTGACTCTGCCCTCCTCTGCAGCACACGCTTGGTTCCCGTGGGAGCTGCATCCGCCATGGTCCTCCTGTGGCTCACAATGCTTCTGACCTGGGCCTCCTGCCTGCCACAGACCATCCAGGGTAGGTATGGGAGGGCAAACTACTGTGTTGAGAATGAGATGGATGTCCCTGGACCCCTGCCACCTTCCCCGAGGGATGACGTCTTGCAAAACTGCAATACAATGGCACAGCCCACGTCTTGATCGTGATACAGTTGTGGTGTGTCAGGTGTTTCGTGTACCTCAGGCTTTAGGACCAATAGCTTACCAACATTCAGTATTAAGATTTTCATAGGTAGGGTGGCGCCTGTGGCTCACTGAGTAG